AATAATAATTAGCTGGGTGTGGTGGCACATGCCTTTAGTCCCAGCACTCGGGAGGCAGAAGCAGGTGGTTCACTGTGAGTTCAAGGCCAGACTGGTCCACATAGTGAGTTCAGGTCAACTGGGACTACAGGGAGACCCTGTCTCAAAAAGAAAAAAAAAATTATTATTATTATTTTAGTTTGTTTGAGATGGGTTCTCTATGTAGCCCCACAGCAGCTATGTGTAATTGCTTTATTATTTTATTTTATTTTATTTTTTGTCTTTTTGAGACAGGGTCTCCCTGTAGCCCCAGCTGTCCTAGAACTCACTATATAGACCAGGCTGGCCTTGAACTCACAGAGATCTGCCTGTCTCTGCCTCCCAAGTGCTGGGACTACAGGCATGTGCCACCAGGCCAGGCTTATTTATTATTTTTATTTTATGTGTATGAGTCCATGTGTGTAAGTGCACCCTTGTCGTGCAATGCCAAGGAGGTCAGAAGAAGGCATTGGATACCCTGGAACTGGACTTAGGGATGGTTGTTAGCTGCCATGTGGGTGCAGGTCCACTGTAAGAGCAGCTTGCCAGGCATGGTGGCACACGCCTTTAATCCCAGCACTTTAATCCGCAGCACTTTAATCCCAGGCAGAGGCAGGTGGATCTCTGTGAGTTTGAGTCCAGCCTGGTCTACATAGTGAGTTCCAGGACAGCTGGGGCTTGTTAAAAAAAAAAAAAAAAAAAAAAAAAAAAAAAAAAAAAAAAAGAGCAACTCTTAACCACTGAGCATTTCTCTAGCTCCAACATGTTTTTTATTTGTTACACTAAGACAAGCACTGGCAGTTCAGGGTAGTCCATGAAACAAGACAGCCAAAGAATTTGACAGAAAAGATGGATGTCTTTTACGTCCTGTCCTCTCAGATGGTCACACACCTGTACCCACTCACTGCCTGCCCAATAGGGGTAGATGGAAGGCAGAGCCTCACTTGTAGAGATTTGCTGTTTCATCCCTGCCTGCTGGTGCATGCCTATCATTGGGAGGCTGAGACAGGAAGATTACTGTGAGGTTATAGAGTGAGCACACATCTTAACAAACAAACCACCAGTAAGCCACCACCGAGCCATACATAGTAGCCCATTCCTGTCATCCCAGCACTGCTGAGGTAGGCAGATCAGGAATCAAAGACCAGTCTTGGCTGTATGAGACCATGTCTCAAAAAAAGTAAAAGCAAACAAACAACCCTCCCAAACAAAACAAAGGGCTGTGGTGTGGCTCAGTGGGTAGAGTGCTTGTAGTTCAGTAGGTGGAGTTTTATAGCTTAGTAGGTAGAGTGCTTGTACTCAGTGGGTAGAGCACTTGCTTAGTATACCTGAGTCCCTGGGTTCATCTCCAGTACCACATAAACCAGGCATGGTGGTGCACACCTGTCATCCCACCACTCAGGAGGCTGAGGATTGGCTATGTGGGGAATTTCAGGCTAGCCTGGGCTACACGAGACCCTATTCTCCCTCTATCCTCCACAATATACTTTTGTTGTTTAAAGTCTAACTTGATGTTCTTGGTTTCTTTTGAACTCAACTTTAACTGGCCTTCTTCCTACCCCTTCATTTTCTGTGACAGGTGTGTGTTGCATGCCTGGGGCTGCAGCCCTGGGGCTGGCTGGGGCAGGCCTCTCCCGCTGGTCTCTCTTTGCAATGAGCAGGTCCAGTGTAGAGAAGGTCTTACTGTCTCCACATCACAGCCCTGGGGCCCGAGATTGCAACACTGGAGGTCTCGTGACACCCCATATGTTCAGCCTTTGTCTCCCCAGCCTCTCTGGCTCTTGATCTCCAGTCCCCACCTCTCTGAGCACCCCGAACTCTGTGCCTGGCCGACACTGCTGTGTTCTCTTGTGGAGGAGACTGTGTCTTTCCAAGTCCTTTTCATCTTCTGTCCTCGGGGGCTTCTCTTGCCACCCCCAGGACTAATTAAGGCATTTTCCTAAACAAGGTCAGTTGTATCTCAGAAAATGAATTCTGAGGCCAGCTGGTAGAATTAATTTTCCCTCTATCTTCTCTAACCAAACGGGTGACACTCAGCGGCACCACAGTAGCTGCTGCCTGGGGAAGGACAAGATCAGAGGCCACTGATTACACCCCATTTGATAACAGGCCCCATCTGTGTGCCTGGGCCAGCCGACCTATGGTAACAAATGTCCTGAGGCTTGGGGATTAAAAACA